CGTGTTAAGCTCAATGTGACGACCGTAGACAATGACCCCGGTGATGAAAGTCATTGCTGAAAAATGGTACGAATTCAAAGAAACTCTCAATGCAGAGGGTTATAGTTGACGATGGGCTCCGATATATTCGTCAAGCAGTAAACAGAGGTATGTAATGAAGTACTGAACAACATTGTCAGCGTTGTTGGACGTTAACAGAAAGGTACTTCTTTTCAGGGGAACTGTTTGATGTCCTATTGATTGACGTCTCATACAACGAGAATCGGCCACTGATGGCTCCAGTGGAGGGCTTTCTCGACTCCGATGAAATAGAGAAAATGAACGAAGTGATCAAGAAAGACGGTACAAGTCTCTGATGTCCTGTGAAATCACTTTAGCTCCAACGGGAGAATTTCGACTGGAACTGAATTACGGCACTTTTTCATGAAAATTCCGGAAAGCGTAGGACCGTTAGGTTCTTGTCATCCTTACTAGTCCCTCAGACTCTAAGGCAAACTATAAAGTTGCCTCCGTGGTTCTTCGTCCCTGCCGTGTGCGATAAGTGGTTCCACAGCTGTAGCAGATTGCCACCTCCCCACTCAAGTATGCACGGAAACGGCTGTGGAGGTACCCGAGTGCCGTCCTCGCACTCCTACCGCGAAGTTGTACGGCAAACCGGACGCCTAACATAGCCAAGACCACTGCTTTTGTGCACCATCGTTCCTCTGGTTGCTATTTGAACACGACTGCGTATTCGCTGCTGAATTTCGGTAGCAAATGCACCCTGAGGATGGCGTGGGCGGAGTCCCTAGCCGTGCCCTGGCATCACTACCCTTCAGCCCTATTTTTGCGTGCTGTCAAGTATTAAAATGATTACACTTGTCACGTGCCCACCCGTTCTTCTCGCACATGGCAAGGACCGTTGACGGGAGTGAATCTACAGCTTTATCTTTGAAGGCTGCGTTCATACTTTGCGGTAGCGGACAGCAGCTACCAATAGCGCCTACCAGCTTTCTGAGCGTCGCAGCATCACAACTAGAAATGTATAGACATCGATCTAGCGTCTGCCAGCGTGCAGCAGCTTCTGGGAGTGGATAGTATGGGGAGATGTGGGGCTATCAGGCTGTTCGTAGAGAGTATGGCACACCCGGTGGAGTATGGGAAGATAGGTGGGTATCACTCTGCTGATAGAGAGTGAGGCGCGATAGGAGGGTAGCAAAGAGCTGGTGGAGAGTATGGGGCGATAGGAGGGCGGCAGACATCGGTGCCCTCCTATCGCCCCATACTATCTGCCAGCAGTCTGCTGCTGCTCGCCGGCGGAGCTGGTAAATGCGGCAGACGCTAGATCAATATCTATACCTCCCTAGTCGCTGATTCTGCCGAACGCTCGGAACGCTGGTGGACGCCACTGGTCGCTGGTGGACGCTGCTGCAAGGGATGAACGCAGCCTAAGCGGCTACATCCCGCTCCCACATTCACAATGAAAGGGCGTGAAGACGCTCCCTATGAGCTCAAGATATGGAATGCACATTTTCCTTTGTGCGCTTTGGAATTTTTAGCAGTATTTATGGAGTAAGCGTTGAGCACACATCAAATTGCAGGAGCAGTGATCGTGAATGTAGTCACTCGCCATGAGAATATCAGTGAAGCAGACCGGGTGTGTTCTTTAGAATTGTTCACTCTGACCATACTCTGGCCATACTTTTGGAACTACGTCTTTGTAGGGCAACGGGCAAAATAACGGATCAGCTTCACTAGGTGTCACCTTTGTCGGAGCCCAGAAAGCCAAGGGTAAATGGAACTTTCCTCACAACCACTGTGTCGGGAACTACCTTTCAAAGGACCAAGTTATGTCCTAAATTATATTAGCCTTTTAAATAGAATGGGCAGTTACTAAGGACATGGAGTATAGCCAAATAATCTGAAAGGACATTTCGAAGCATGGTTGCGGAGAGGAGATGTTGCGCTTTTTTCTGGTTCCTTGATCCACCTTCCCTGAAAATTATCCCTGGGTGACAGACCAAAGCGGCAAAGTCTTACCAGCCAATTACATCTTTTTGTAATTTTGACTGTCGCACTTCGAGTACATTTTAACCTCGTCATCCGGGCAGTTGATTAGGGCGGTCGTCAACGGGCCGCAGACGCGGCTGCAGCAGCGACCGCGTGCGTAGGAACTATTTGCTTTTTCCAGGCCTAATTTAGTCATTTTTCCCTACTTTTCACTGCTTTTGGCTGCTTTTTCAAGGTTAGCAGTTCCTTGTCTTCACAAGGTAAATTATAATTGGAATTTTATAACTTTTGCGAACAATTAAACGATTAAACAAACAATTAGACAAATGCCTGAAAAAATCGCGAAAAACACATCATTACGAGAGAAAATGAAAGAATCCGCGGGTTAATACACTTCATAAAGACAATAACGTAAATTATCCGAAAAAAATAGGAAATGCAGTGAAAATTAGGGGAAAAATTGCAAAATTAGGGTGGAAACAGCTGATCGCCACGTCGTGACGCGCTGCAGCCGCGTCGCGACACCTGGGGCAGGCTAATCAACTGCCCGGATGACGACGATAAGTGCCGGCATGATTGCTCGAAACGCCTGATAGTTATGATACGTGAAATCGTGCTTCCGATAGACTGCCACCCATCTTCGGAGAGTTTCCAATTCACAATATTTCAGGTGCATTTCGCCTTTTCTCGTCACTTTCCATCATGCTACTTTATGCAATTTGCTAAATTTAATAAGGTTCGTCTTAAGCTGTTCGACACTTCTACAGCATAACCAATCTTTTGTCGCCTGTTACCAGTTTCGCCGACCGTGTACAATCGTATTCGCCGCAGATTCCGGGGCGTGTCAGGGACGGTTTGGCACAGCAGCAGCCCACTCTCCACCAATTGTTGAGGCGGGCAAGCGGCTTCAATTGGTGGAAAGCGGAAATCGGGAACACATAAAAGTTGAACGGACCACTTGACGATCGGTTCGATACATATACTATGAAATTCCTTTTTACAGATGCTGTTCTGCTCGAAAAAGGAAAAGAACTCATGGCTCGACAACAGCGACGAACTCTCCAGTCGATTTGAAGTGATTGATGAGAAGCTACAATTTGGGCTGCTTGATGAATTGCAAGGAAAAAGAGGCTGAACTACTGCAACAAAATTGATCTCTTAATGTCCAGCAAAAGCATTATGTATCCAGCTTCTCCCTTCGTGAAGAAGAAACGATTCAGTCTGAACGTCAGGCAGATAATAAAAGTATTCCGCCAAAACCTCGTCGGCACACAGGAAAACATTCAAAATGCATTAAAAGTGTTCGGTTCGTGAGCTCCGTTAATACCTTGCGGCAACGTCCACCAGCGACCAACGGCGTCATCGTCTAGAAAAGTATAGATATTGATCTAGTGTCTGCCAGGGTCTGCCTGTCTATCTGCAACCAGCAACAGACTGCTGATAGAGAGCATGGAGCGGTAGGAGGGTAACAGCTGTCTGCTACCCTCCTACCGCCCCACACTGTCTCTGACGCTGATGGCAGATGCTGGCAGCCGCTAGGTACCCGTACTTTCCTAGCCCTCAAGATGCTGGTGGTAGCTAGCGGATGCTGGTAGACGCTGGTGGACGTTGGCAGACGCTGGCAGACACTAAATGATATCTATAGAATAGGCGACATCTATACTATCCTCTGCTCGCTGACGCTGCCGTACTCTCGGGAGCTCGTGCACGCTATTGGTCGCTGGTGGACGCTACTGCAAAGTACGAACGCAGCTCAACAAATACCTCATGCCTACATACTAGTTGCAAAAATATATTTATTCAACACTTCACTTTGAGCACAACAATATTCTCATGCGGCATAAAGAATATAATAACCGAGGCACATATATGTCATGAAATGTACCTGTATTCTACTAACACTCTTTAAAAACGACATTTTGATCCATATGACACTTTATATTCTTGGAATTACATAGTCATCATTTATGTTAATCATTTAAGTTGAGATAGTAAGACCAGTAGATTATGTTGAATATGGTGAATAATCCTGGAAACGCCACCATACTTATACGATCTATACGATCCGTCGTCCATCCTCCTCTTGTCGCTGACACAAATGGCTTGTCTTCGCAACCATCCAGCAGAAGCATTTTCTCCGTTGTCCTACAAACCCCGGCTCTCAGTTGGAATAGAAAATCATTTAAACAAGCAATGCAAACTTGTGGAACAGGAAATTAAAACGATAAAAAAAGAAATCAAGAAAATAAAAAATACCAGAAAACCCACTGTGCTAGGTCGGCGGATGTCCTCGAAATGGTCCCAGGTGTAGCTAAAAGCGTCTTCTTTCGCATCCGTGGATCTTAAGCGACACATTAATACAGGACATTCTAACCTCCTACAGACTAGTGGAAGAATCCATCCTTACCAGTACTTCCGTAGCTTCGAAAGCCATGTGGCGAGTCCGACTGAACGTGATTCCGGCAGATACGTGGCGATGTGCAGGAGGAGGAACGCGAGCGTTGAGGCGGTCCTGTTCCTTTCGTCTGTATTTTAAGAGCAAGCTTCAGTAATTATTCGTTACGGAAACCGCGAAAAATCTCATGTGATTATTCTTGGTAGTGTTCATGTGATTGCTCAGGAGGTAACAACGCTCAGGTGGTTTCACAAGAACTAGTGCTATGTATGTAGTTGACATGTACCTTGACAGTGAACTTAATCTTTTGAAGAGGCATTTTGTCGTGTAGAAGATCCTGTTTGGATGTGGGACACTATTTATTTATTCATTAAATTAACTATGCATGCTCAGGGAAGTCACTGAATGCATTTGTTGAAAGATGGTTTGGAGATCCACGGTGCCGCACACGCAACTGACCAGTGTTTCTTAGCTAGTTGACTTGTACTTCCACTTTGGGCGTACAGGAGGGGGGGGGGGCAAAAAAAAGACATTTCGACCGAGTCACATATCAGCAAAGTTTTCGCAGCCCAGACAGAGGACGTGGATACGAGTACCAGGGCGGAAGATACCCAAGATGTTCCTCTATAAGCAGGAGCTGGCTCTCGCCCATCACCTTCATGTACACCAAAAAATATGTAGATGTATAGATGTACACCAAAAAGTCATTTCCAGTTGCAGCCTGACTGGAGAAGACCTTTGGAATTCATGTCACCTCCAAACAGCTGCGAAACTTCTAGTATGGAGCCATGGATAGCTACCTGGAGACCAGTACTCTTGATCTGGAAGACCTCCAACATCGAGCAGCTCCGACAACGTCGCTACGGTCTAGGACATCATCTTCACCTCAGTCGCCAAGGCGCCAGTTGATGGTATGGACCGGACGTACCTGGAATGGAAAGACCGATATTTTCTTCGTGGACCCCGGACTGAAGGTGAGCGCTGGCGGTTACATCGAGCAACTCGAGAAGAATATCCTCTCCACATGTCGTCGCCCGTACCTTCTTGGAAACTTTGTACTGCTACAGGATTGGGTGACACCACATGGAATCAAAGGGCGTTGGAAACTCTTGCCTACTTGGAATGGAAGGGCGTTGAGTACCTGAAGAAGGTGGAATATCTAAGCAGGTCACCTGACCTAAACCCCTCAATTACCTGGTTCGGGCGGAGTTCAATAGGGTGGTCTACAGTGGCGGAGAAATCAACGATCTCGCTGAACTCAGGCACCCACTCACGGTCGCGTGGCAGAATCTCTCGATGGCGCTCCTCCAGAAGGCTGTGGCGGAGTATCGTGATAGTATTTAATATGCTCTTTAATATGGTGGTAGAAATGTCCGATAAGAATTATAAAGTGTAACTTATAGCGCCTCGAAAGTCAAGGGAGAAAAAAGTTTTTTTTTGCCTCCCCTGTATATTCGTACAATGCCCGAATCTTATACGAGCGCTTTCTGCTAGTTCCTTTTCCTTTTTCCTTCATTAACTTGTGAATTAAGCGGTATAAAAGCGTTTGTAAATTCCATTACCTACGAACGGCTTTCGGCGCAATGTGCCGTCAAGAGAAGCTCGCACCTGGGGGCTCCACAAATAAGCAGATCACTCGCACTCTCAACCAGAATTGTCCGTTAAGGCTGTTTAAACATACCTCTGTTCTGGCTCCAATGGCTCCTATGACCGCTAATTCCAACAGAGACGAGAACACGAATGTGAGGCAAACCAACATCCACACATCTGTAAATAGATTGCTTTAGAAATTGCGGAAAGGAACGACATACAGTCAGGGCACGCCGTACGCTGAGGAATTCACCAGGAAGAGGTCGTATCTGAGCACAGGGTGAAGGGATCGTAGCGCGATAAATTATTTGTCGAGCAGATAGCATCGCATCTAAGACGCTGTGATGCATGATGTCAAGTAATGATGATTACTCTCCCTGCAGTCTTGACATCTCAGCGTGATGAGTAATAGAAAATGTCTATGATTGGTTTCATTTTTTAGGCTGCGTTAACACTTTGCGGCAGCGTCCATCAGCGTCTGCCAGCGTCCACCAGCGCCTCAAGCGTCCGGCACCGTCAGCACTGGGAAAGTGTAGATACTGATCTGGAGTCTGCCAGCGACTACCAGTGTGCACAAACATCTCCTAGCGCTCGTCAGCGTCTACTAGCGGGCACCAGCGTCTCGAGGGCCTGGAAGGTATAGGTATCGATCTAGCGTCTTCCAGCGTCTGCCAGCGTGCACCAGCGTGTACCAGCGTTCAGGAGAGGAAGGTATGGCTCGATACGAAGACAGCAGAGAGCTATTACACTCCTATTGCGCCATACTCTCCAATCCCGGACCGTGGTGAAGACGCTCAGAGCGCTAGTGGACGTTGCGAGCATTAAAGTAGCCTGACTCGGCGTTGCTGTTCGTTTTACACTGTATTCAGTGGTAGCTGGGTGACAAATAGTGTTCTTGCACGGGTTTTGTTTATTTTTTTCCCATTTCAAGCTCATAAGACGCAACATGGCAACATCTCTAAAAGGAGGATAATGCCTCAGTATATCCTTTTCCCTCAGCGCCACGGTGAGCCCTCATATAGTGCTTACCTAGCGCTTTAACATAGCTAACTCGTGGAAGATTTCGCATGATATTCCCGAATTGAAATGTCAGCGCTAGGAGAGAATTCACTCCAAGCATTGTTCGAGCAGGTATCATCTTTGGTCCAAGGCAGAAGCTTATCCAACTAAAAAAATATTTCAATCTAGAATCTAGTATTATATGAATTTCAACTTGTACCTGATAAAAATAGTGAGGTATGTAGGAATGTAGGCTTGAAATATATACCACCCGTATCGACGGCTGAACACGAAATTCATCGTTAATTCATTCCAGATGCCTGCCGGATATATCTGTAAGAGAGCTGTCATAGTCTTGCCCGCTGCTGACGATGGGGCGTGGCGAGGAAGATGGGTTTGGCACAGAGCCAGCCCATTTTCATTTTCTTTCGGCGAGCGAGTGACAAGACCCCGCCATACAGTTCGTGTCAGTCGTTTTCCTCAGAATTTGTCGCTTATCAGCTTCAACACCTCTTGGAAAACGAGCTAGCGGCGCCGAACTCAGCCTTATTGACATGCCCCATCATCCGCAGCGATCAAGTCTGTATTTATGACATAAAGGCGGGGTCTTTGCCTTTGAAAGAAAAGCTCAGTGAGAAAGCAAAAAAGATAAATCTTACACATTATGTCAAGGAAAATGACCTGTATCAAATCATAAAAAAGAAAAATTATAAAGGGAAATACAATATTCAATACGTTACAATTATACAATAATACATTTAATACAATTTGACTGTGGAAACCTGTTGTTCAATTGAGGTCGAGTAATTTGTGAGCACGAAGTCCGGCAGTACGATCTCCTTCTTCAGCAGCGAAAGGCCTTCGGTCCAATTTGTCCACTGCATATCAACCTGCAAAAGAAATGGCATACGAAGTTATACGAGTAGGAAGTGAACTGATAAGGCAGAAAATGGGGCACAAAAGAAAAGTACAAGGTCCGCCGTATTCAAATATGTTTTGTTCCTATAAAACAGTACAATATAAATATGTTGCTAGCACCTACCTCTTGATTGTTATAACTGAATGACTCAAGGGTAAGGTGACAGGACTGTCGATCCATTGGAAAAGCGCTAGAATAGGGATCTGATCATATATTACAAAAATTTTTACTTAGCAGTCGACCTACCTAAAGTCCATTGAACAAGGTCCTTTCACTTGAACCCTGTAATTTACCCACACGGTTCCATTTGGATAGATCATAAGAAAAACGTTTCTGAACGGTGACTTGTGGATATGTGCCGCTTTGCTGTTAATGAAAACGGTGTTTGGTTTCCAGATTTGATCCAAAATCTGAAACATGCATGTAATATGAGTGTAAATGGTATTGCGGCAAAAGAGGGCGTGGCTATCTGAGGCGGGGCATGTAATGAGGTCAACTGCGTGCACTATACATGCTGTAATTGTTTGGCTTCCAATGATCCAAAATCTGAAATACGTGTGTGATATTATAAGGTGTGTTGCGGCAAAAAGAGGTGTGGGTATCTGGGGCGGGGCATGTAGTGGGGTCAACTGTCAGTGTACATGCCATGGGAGCTTTGCGCAAGGTTGAAAGCCGCTTCGCGGGAGAATCCTAAAACATTAACTCTTGATTATAGCGCTTGAGTGATGTTACATAGAACCAGGCCAACGCGTTCCAGGAAAAGTCAAAAATTCCCATGGACAAACCTCGGAATTAAGTGATAAGTTGTATTTACATGGGCTCATATGATCATATCGAAGAGCATTATCCATCCAAAGTTCAGTCACGTAGATGTCCATATCGAAATCACTAGTAATTTCATTAACTGAGTTCACTTCTTGAACCCACACCTTAAGAGAGAACAGTCTTCAAAAACTTGAAAGAACTTCAGTCAAATGACTTTAAGCGAACCTCAATCCACACTATCACTCCCGATTCCGATGGCGTTTTGAAAGACTTGTAATTATCAATAAGGCGCTCTATTATAACTTTGTCACTAGTGCACATACCGAGTTCTTCGCGGTCTTCCAGCTCAGCCTAAAGAAAACCATGAATAAACAGTTGTCTTCTACGAAGTTCTTTTCTCAGATTCTTTTTTATTCTATTCTGTCACCACTATAACTTCCGGGTTTCTGCTTTCATAACAGGACCGATTCCACGGCTACCGCTACACAGCAGTATTCCCTTGGTCACTCCGCTACCTTCCTGCAGGCATCTCCTCCCCTCCCCCCCCCCCTTTGTCTTGCTTCGACAGCGCAGTGCTCCTATCATAGTGTTCAAAGTGAACCATCACGGCGGTAGCTAAATGGTCAGTCGAGGCGCATCATCGTTGGGGCTTCCCCAACGGAAGAATCGTATGGTCGCTGCGGAGAGAGGGAGTTGTATTTGGGGAAGAAAACTTTTTTGATAGTCGATTTTTCGCGTTTCTCGAACGCTACAAGGAGGGGGGGAGTTGTTCGGTTTTTGTTGGAGGAGGGAGGGGGGGGCTTGTATACGCCTTCTGAAAGAAATTGCGGCGTTCGGAAAAAACTTTTCCCGGTTATAGACTTGTCGCGGTTTTTCCTACTTTCACATGTGCCGTATACTCCTACCCTCCGCCCTTCTACCCGTTTGACAGCAAAATCCGAGAAAATGTCGAAAAATTTTGGGGAAATTCCGGAAAAAGTGGCGGGAAGTTAGAAAAACCCAAGAAAGCGGTAGCTAGGATGGGAAAGGAGGTGGGGTCGCCTTTTCCTCGCAATTGGTCCCGTTTCACATGTACAATATACCATACCTACCCCCTCCCCCTCGCTTAACAGCTCGATCGTATCGGAGGAGGGAATTGGGTGGTAGAGCCATCAAGCCATCTTTTTGGAGGGAGGGGGTACGGACTCGGCCAAAATCCACCACTCAATGTTAGATCTGCCATGTGAGCAGTACCACAAATTTGTGCAATGAAAGAAACTACCGTACCTCCGAAGGGTTCTTCGTTGACGTGGATGATACAGCTATCGCTGCTGTACACAAGAAAACAAGCCGACAGCACATTGGCGTATCATTGAAGCATTCCTTAACATTTCTCCTTATTTCATCTTCAAATGTCAAAGGCAGTGGGCACAATAATTAGGTTTGTTGCAGAAAATGAAATTAGATGCATTGAATAGTGGGACGAAACGGTCGGAGCCCAAAAATAGGGCCCCTATTAAACACTACAACCAGAACCGGAAGTGTGCCTGACAACTTGTGAAATAAACCTTCGCTGGTCAAATATCATTATTTATACAATGAAGGAAGGAGTATGGGCGATTGCAAGAGGAAAAATAAAATATATTTATTCAAACACTGGCCAACTTCACAACAACATTAACGGAGTCCTTAACAGGGAAAGAGACAATTTCCATGAGGCAGGCGTCGAAGAGTCACGAAGAATCAAGTGAAGAACGCAAAAACAGTGAAAGAAATCCAAAGCTCTAAACGGGCACCACTTGCAAGAAAACATTGCAATGTGCCAAGGAAAATAATTTCTTTACCTTTAACAACTTACTTTTTCTAGAGGAACCCTCAAAAGAGGGGAGAAACGCCATTCAACCGCATTGGCTGAAAACAGTTAATGCGATCGTGATCAAATGCTGATCATTTGTGGGCGTGTCAGAGTTGGTGGGAGTCTGGGTGGGCACGCTAAGCCTTGCTGAAACCCTTAGAGACCGCTTTTCATTGGAAAAGACATTGTGTAGGCACGATAATTTGGTGCTCTCTCTAAAATGGTAGCAGGGGTGCTAAATAGTGGGAAAATGGCGAAAAAGCGAAGTGAAACGGTCAAAAACCTGCAAAAAGCCTTTGTTCTACACGACTCAGAAAGCAATTTCGGACGAGTTCCCCGTTGGCATCGTGTCAATCACCGCTAGGTAGGTCGGCTGCATGTATGTACTCATATATCCATGCAGCACCGCAGCCGCTTCATATCAATCCCTTCGCTTCATATTGTACTTTGCAAATGAAGCCATACGAGCAACAGTACGGTCGTCCATTTGTGGACGGGGGTGCAAATTCGGATCGGTATGTTGCAGCTTGATAGGGCGCTATAAAGGAACCTCCATTGGAGAAAGGCGCCGCGCAGCGCTTGCTCAGGGGCGCCGAATTAGGTCCTGTTGGGCGTACTAACCATGCACGTTTTGGGAGTTTATTGTGCGAACTGCTGAGCAGTGGTAAAGGGTTCGCTCGCAAAATCTCCATTGGAGAAAGCTCAAAATCCCCGCCCCGTTTTTAAACTCGCAATTTATCAAATTTGCTGCATAACTTTTACTAACCGAAATATTTCACTTCAGGAAAGTAAACTAGATGATATCGAAACGGCAGAGTGGTTCTTCCACGTTTTTACAACGGATGTCAAACAAACCCACCATACCGTTCGCACTCTACAACACGAGTTTTTTATGAAAATTACTGGTACTGTTTCGAATACTGTTAAAGCGTCCGAAGATGGGAAGGACATTACTTATTAGTTCCTACTTCAGGTTCTGACAAATGTGGTAGTGCCAACTTTTTGGCTTGATGAAGTTATACAATATTGAAACCCGAGAAATGACATGCAACTGTACTGGTCATACTACTATTAAGGAGGGACGAACGTGAATCGAGTAGAACTTGGTACTAGGGTTTGTCAAGCGATTCTTCAAGCTGATGATGAAAGTTTTGTATAACGTAAATAGTAAAGAATTGAATAGACTTGTCTGCAGCGGAATTAAAAAAGTAGAGCATTTTGAAGACGAAAGAACACATGAAAAGAGGAAGAGAGCTTCTGAGAATGTGATCAACTGAGGGCCCCCTAGTTTACTGTGTACAGGCAGCCCGCACCCCATGAGACGCGGGTAGGAGTAGCTGCATACTTCTTTTGAACATGCAATAAGACCGGTTATTCGTGGGATATTTTAAGTTGGAGCAAACTTCATATTCTTAGGATTGTACAACGACATGATTAGAATTTCCGAATGATAATAACACCAGGAAGTGCTGCCGCCGTCGCCATGTTCCAATAAAGTGCGCAGGCACGCCTACCGCATTTGAAGGATTTGAAGTATACAAGGTATTCACATGAATCATTCTTAGTCTTGTCGAAGTCTGTCACGAGAAGGGGACTAGCGTTCTCTGCGTTTAGGTAGCTGTAGTACGGAAGCGTGCTGAAAAGGGTAAGGAGTCCCAAGCACCTCCACTTGTTCCTCATAACAAAGCACTTTATTGAATCGACGCGAATGTTATATTAAATGCACTGTGCAGAAGTGGCATCAATCCGGATTAGCTACGGACCTTCTGCAGGGAAAAGCAGCATTTCACCATGAAAATAAAATAAAATAAATAAAATCAATCTTCTAATGATCCCACTCGAAGCCACGTGGCACGATAAAGCACCTAGGCGTGTAGGATTAATACCCCTAGCAGGACAGAATTGGGCGCCCCTGAAAAGCCGCTGCATGGGCCCGTTTTCCAAGACACGTACTCTTTTAGCGCCACATCGAGCTGCAACATACCGACCCAGACTCTGTCTGCCTCGCCCGCCCACAAATGGACGACCGTGCCTGTTGCTAGCACCGCTTCGCCTGCGAGGTACAGTATGGAGCAGAGGGATTAATATGAAGCGGTTGTGGTGCTGCATGGATATAGAAGTAAATAAATGTAGTCGGTATACCGTAGCGGATATTGGCGCCATGCCACCGGGGAACTCGTTCAAAATTGCTTTCTAAGTCGTGTACGACAATTATTTTTTAGGCTTTTGAGCGCTTCACTTCGCTTTTTCATCAAGTTTCCCAGTATATAGCACCGGAGATACCATTTTAGACTTAGTACCACATTAGCGTGCCTTGTGCCTTCAATGTCGAAATTACGCAGGTGTAATACACACGAAATCCCTGAGATGTGGTAGGCGTGGCTGCGTACTTCAACCAAACGTGGCGGTGGCTGTGCTTTTGGTGAGATATTTTCATTTTGACACAATTGTGTCGTGTCTCTGTCCAACACAGAACAAGATGACAGTTGTCTCAAACTGGAATATTCCACGAGTAACCCATTCTATGCCATGTTCAAATGCCACGCCTACTCCGTCACAGGGATAAGGAGTGTACGTCGAATCAAGATAACATAGCAGGAATAGGAAAAGGAACGTAGTGAATCGATAACGAAATTGACAGCAAAGCGGTGGAGAACGTTAGCGGAACTTGGAAATTCAGAGCCGACCAAAGCGTCTCGCTGTTTTGTGTAGTGCCTGAGAAATTAGTGCGTCAGAGAACCCCGTCTTATGATTTGAGTGACAGATTCATGGATTACGCACAAGTACTCTTCGACTATTTCTCGGATTGGCCCTAGCAAAAGCAGCTCATGAGCGCACTTGATAGCATGGGAACTAGTCCAAGCCCACGATGCGCCTAAGCAACTGCTACTCATGATGAGTAGCCTAAATTGGTCGTTAGGGGGTATGGCGGGGTCCCAAGATGGGAGCTCGAAAGTGTGCTCAAACAATTTCATAGTAAAGTATGTTTTCAAGGAAAAGATAAATCTAGAGGTGAATAGATGAATCCCATCTCCAGAAAGGAGTCCACGAGGCACACGGTTAGCGAAAAGTTCTCAAACCAGGTCTTTGGAATGTAGCTAGAGCGTATCTTCAGAGGCAAGCTTCACCTTCCTCCAGCGTCACGAAATTAGCAAAAAGATCTGATTGAAAGAGAAATTGAGCAGTGAGCATGAGATACTACTAAGTTGAGTACAAGGCAGCATCTCAGCTGTTCTCGACTATGTAATTCCTGAAGAGTTTCTCCAAACAGATCGATTAGAAAGAAATTAAGTCGCATGTATGCTAAAGACAGGTAACAGACCGCAATGGTGTATCGTGGAAGGCCTTGGTGCAGCTTTAGGCCGAGGGTGAGCATAAGCAAGAGCTAGAAAGTTATCATCACAGATAGGTACAGTACTTGACACAGTTTCCACCAGTAAGATTCTGGCGCAGAATTTGACGAATACGTAGAGGGATGGATTCAGGGCACATCGTTGGGGATTGCCCAATAGAGGGGTCGTATTTGGTTGCTGAGGGGAGTCCCATTTGGTCTAAGACACTTTTTTATTAGTTATTTTTTCTTGTTTTACCCTTGAAGGTAGGGGAGGGGGTTGCATTTTCTTTCCAGAAAAATCAACGGCACTGGAAAAAGTTTTCCCTGCTGTTGAGTTTTCGCGGTTCGTTCCCTCTCAACGCTGACGGGAAAATTTTTGGGAAGTAGAAATTGGTCGTTAAAGGCTAGAAAATGATTTGTGGGGATTTTAGGTAAAAGTGGTAATAAAATCCTGGAAAAGCTAGCAAGAGAGGTGATGTAATAGGTGGCGAGGGAAGGGGAGGGGGAGGTCGCAGCAGTCGTAGCAGAGGACGAAGCTGGGAGAGGATCTCCGAAAAATCTCGCCGACCGCAAAAGTGCCCTAGAAAAAACAACAAATCGAAACCGTAAGTGGAGGGGGTTCGTACGGACTCGACCAAAATCTACGTGCCCTGAATGGATTCGGGAAGGTGGTGCCTGGAGCAGATGTGGACACAAATAAGAGCACTCTTTGTGGAACCAAGGTAGGATAAGGTGAGTGGGAAGTGGCTGAGTAATCTTTGGACCTACTGCCAGAGGAAAAAGATCAGTTAAGCGCATACTTCCTGGAGCGTATGCGTGTGCGCATGTTCCTACATTTTCACAGCAGTGTGAGTGAAGAACGAAGGTGCTAAGGTCATTAAAGAAGACCTTAGCAAGATAAGTCCACACGTTACCCCTCCCCCCCCCCCCATTGCAGGTGGACCATTTCAGCTTGATATGAAGGACACAGGCGAGGAAATTCGCTTCATTTGACCACATGAAAGTGAGACTGCAGCGAGTGTATGTAGGATTAAAGGTCAAGATGTAAGCATGCCCATTATAAACGATTGCAACGGCGAGATGAAAGGAGAGTCTGTTCAATAGTGAAAGAAGAATGGTGTAAGTACTAGCAGAAACTAAATCCACTCTTGATGAGCAGCACTTCCCCAGAAC